TCTCTCTCTCTCTCTCTCTCTCTCTCTCTCTCTCTCTCTCTCTCTCTATCTATCTATCTATCTCTCGTGGTCTGAGAACAACTTGCACAAGTCGGCAATCCTTCACTAAGCGGGGTCTCTTAAAGGCTAAGCTGCCCTTTTTTGGAAGTGAAACTGTGCACACGTAGCTTCTTGGCGCCGCTAAAGCTATGGACACAAGGGAAGAACGAGACGCGAGCCTTCGCCCTGTGACAGCCTGGGATTTCTTCCTCCCACTGTCACGGCTCCCAGACGCTCTAAGGACCGAAAACTTGGGTCTCATATTTCCGGGGGACACTCTTGCGCTGCACACACCCCCTTGGTTTCCCTTATGTGAACCAATAGAAACCACGGTCGGCTGGCCAGTCAATGGTAGTGGAGAGTTACTGGGCGCACTGCCAGTCACGCCGCGATGGGGCGGGACTTCCTCCCGGAACTTGAAGCCGCGCAGGAAGGTCGGGCAAGGTGCTTGCTGGTTGGAAATCCATGTGGCGCGGGCTGAGTGCCCTGGCGACCCGGGCGGCGCGGGCGCCTCGCAGGTGGGTGGGACAGACCCGCTGTCACGGCGGGGGGGCGATATTCTAGGCCCCGGGCCCCGTCCCTCCTCCCGGAGCGGCCACCTTGTCCATCGGCGGGCCGCAGCGCGCACTCCCGGGGCATCCCCGGGCGACGTTCCCTCGGTCCTTCACTCCGAGGCTCGGCGTCCGGGGTGCGCTTACTCGCCTACTCCTCGGCCCCCAGGCTGTGCGCACGCCGGAGCAGCGGCGCCGGGTCCTGGACCCCCGAGAGCACCATCTTTGCGCTCAGCTCCGGCCAGGGTCGCTGCGCCATCGCCGTGATCCGCACCAGCGGCCCGGCCAGCGGGATCGCGCTCCGCAGCCTCACTGCATCCCGGGAGCCACCTCCGGCCCGCAGCGCCTGCCTGCACCTTCTCCGCCACCCGCGCTCTGGGGAGCCGCTGGACCGCGCGCTCGTCCTCTGGTTCCCAGGTGAGGGGCTCGATCCAGGATCCCACAGCGCTAGTGACCCGGCCTCAGTCCCCTCCGGAAGTCAGCCCGGGCCGTGCCCTTCGTTTGACTCTGCTCTTTACCGTACAAGGCCCCCGGAGTTTCACTGGTGAGGATTGCGTGGAGTTTCACGTGCACGGAGGTCCCGCGGTGGTCAGTGGCGTCCTGCAGGCGTTGGGTGAGGCTCTGTTTTGTGACACTGTTACTGGGGAGGCTGAAAAATCTCTGGTGTAGGCTGCAAGACAGAGTGTCATTTGTGGGAAGAGATTTATCATTAACGTGGTCCTTCTAGATTGCTGACTCAGCCAGTAAAGGTGATGGTTGCCAAGCCTGAGCTGAGTTCCAATCCCGGGATCCCTGTGGTGAAACTGATTTATGCAAGCTGTCTTCTGACTTCCTGGACGGACGGACAGACAGACAGACACACATACAAACACGATTAATGCAGTAGACAGACTGCAGTATAGGGAGGCCTGTGAGGACAGCTGACTCAGGGGCAGGGTGTATGTTTGGTGGCAGTTGTTCTGAGGAAGGACTAGATCCTATGCAGGGAGCTGACTGAGTGACCCACAGTACCAGCTCATAGCCAGCCTGCCTGTGATTGCTGAGTGGTGGAGGCAGGGAGGGTCTTGCCTTTCCAGGAAGGAATTGTGTGTCCGACAAACCCGTTTGCCACAGGAGACCACTGATGCTTACTAGTCTGTCAGTGTAGGCCTGTGTCGAAGGGGCAGCTGCAGGTGACCTGAGCAGCAGCTGGCCCAGGTTCTGACAAACATCTCCTAACTAACCCCCAGGCGTGGTACCTGGGTCATACTGGCCCATCGGAGTCCAGCTTTGGGAACCAGCCAGCTTCCTGACCGTCCTTACAGTAGTGGGGGCAGGGCACCAACCTGGAAACCGTGTGGAACCTGCCATTGGATGGAGATCAGGAGCCTTGACCTTGTGATGCTTGCAGGTAGTGTGCCGGGACTGCGACCAGCTGAGCCAGGGGAGTTCACCAGAAGAGCATTCGCCCATGGAAAGCTGAGCCTGACTGAAGTAGAGGGACTGGCTGATCTGATCCACGCAGAAACTGAGGCCCAGCGGCGCCAGGCCCTGAGGCAGCTGGATGGGGAGCTGGGCCAATTGTGCCGAGGCTGGGCGAAGACTCTCACCAAGGCAAGACCTGCTTGCTCACCATCCATCCCGTCTTTAGAGAAAGCTCTGGGCCTGTGAAATGCCAGTCTGGTCACTTAGGTCGAGCTGGAGCTGGGTTTAGAGCGAGGACCGTGGGTTCCCAGGAGCACCCATGACGTCTTTGTCTTCCCCCCAGGCTCTGGCCCATGTAGAAGCCTATATTGACTTTGGAGAGGATGGCAGTTTGGAAGAGGGTGTGTTGGAGCAGGGTATGTCTGCCTTTGGGAGGGTGGGGCTGGCGTCTCAGCACCCCAAAGATCCTCCTGATCGCCTCTCCTCAGCCTACCTTTTCCCTCTCACAGTGGACAGAGACGTTCGAACCCTGGAGGCTGCACTGGGTTCCCACCTGCAAGATGCCAGGCGTGGTCAAAGGCTCCGCTCAGGGGTGCACGTTGTGGTCACTGGACCCCCCAATGCGGGCAAGAGTAGTCTGGTGAATCTTCTCAGTATGTGGGGTTCTGGCAAGGGTGGGGCAGACTCCTGGGCAGGGCTTTAGTCGAAAGGTGGGGCCTCTTACCTTCAACCTACTGCCCTTCATCACACTTTCCCTACCCTTCAGGCCAGAAACCTGTGTCCATCGTGTCCCCAGAGCCAGGGACCACCCGAGATGTGCTGGAGACGCCTGTGGACCTGGCTGGCTTCCCTGTGCTGCTGAGTGATACTGCCGGGCTGCGGGAAGGCGTGGGCATGGCTGAGCAGGAGGGCGTGCGAAGGGCTCGCCAGCGGTGGGTGCAGGGCTGGGGATAAAGCCAACTTGGGTGTTTTCCTCCCCTCTAGTCTATTTCATTATTCCTGAAACAAAATATTTTGAGTTCCTCCAAAGTCAGGGTTAGGGGGAGCCTCGTAGTTTGACTGAGATGCAAGCTTGGCTGGCTTCCCTTCCGCTCCCCCTCTCTGCCCCACCCTGTCTCCTGCATCATTCAAATCCTTCTCCACCAGAGGCTCTGACCTCCAGTTCCTCTGCTGTGCCCCGCCCACTGCTCCCTATCAGACCTGGCCAAGCCCCTGCCTCCCTCAGGTACACCCTCCTCTGCTCATCACCCACAGTGCCACTAGGCTTCTGTGACTGTTCCCCACAACATGGCTTCCTTCCTTCCCAGGTTGGAGCAGGCTGACATTATCCTAGGGGTCCTGGATGCCTCCGACCTGGCCTCCCCCTCCTGCTGCAGCTTCCTGGACACTGTGGTGGCCCCACTGGCAGCACAGAGCCCCACCAGCAGCGGACAGCGCTTCCTACTGCTGCTCAACAAATCTGACCTGCTTCCCACTAGTCCCCCGGCCAGCGACACTGCCTTATTAGGGACGCCGCACCTGCTGCTGTCCTGCCTCACCGGAGCTGGGCTGGACGGCCTTCTGCAGGCCCTAAAGACCGAGCTGGCTGCGGTGTGAGTCTCCCTCGGCCTTCTTCAGCTCTCCAACTCAAGTTCAGGAACAGGCAGAGCTGCTGACTTTAGGCTCAGTATCTCTTTCTGCAAAAGGAGTACAGTGGGGGGTACCTGTTCAAAAGGTGGCTGTACAGGCCAAGTGAAACACCAAGTCTTGTTTCTGGCAGGTGTGGGGACTCATCCACAGGACCACCTCTCCTGACCCGGGCGAGGCACCAGCATCACCTCCAGAGCTGTCTGGATGCCCTGAGTCACTACCAGGCAACCACAGACCTGGCCCTGGCAGCCGAGGCCCTGCGTCGGGCTCGGAAGCACCTGAGCCACCTCACAGGAGGAGGAGGCACTGAAGAGGTCCTGGACCTCATCTTCCGGGACTTCTGTGTGGGCAAGTAAGGGTCAGAGCTGGGGGGGACCCAGGGCCTCAGTTCCCACTGATGGCAGCAAAGAGCAGGAGCACACTTGGGGTCCCCAGCCCTCAAGCCTATTCCCTCCACAGTGAGCAGGAGAGACAGGCCAGGGATCTCAGGATGACTACCCCTCGGCTGCTGAGATTAAGGCCTTCATCACCATGCCAAGTGTACATAGTGGTGGAGATGAAATTCTTGCCACACCCCAGCTCCTCGCAGGGGTTCCAACCCTGAACCATGCCCCCAGCCTCTCACTGGGGGACTCCAGACAGGGGTTCCACCCTGAGCCACACCCCTTGCTTCATAGTTTTTAAGTACCACAGGAGCATGAAGAGTTTGGGTGGTCCAAAAATGTCAGTTCACGAGGACCAGTCAGCTTTACCTTCCAGAAGTTTGCCTATGTGTTCTCTCTATGAGAACATGTGTCATATGTCAATCTTTCATATGTCAATCAAATATATTTATTATCGCCACTGGCCAATGCAAAAAGCGACTAATTGGAACCCAGTGCTTCAGTCAGTCCTGGCTCTACTGAACATTGTTTCTTAAAGTTCATTTATGGGCACAGCACAGGCAGGGAGGTCAGAGGAGCCCTTTCGGGAATCCTCTGCAGTGGTGACGTGGATCTCAGGGCCTGAGCTTGGGCCTGCAGACTTGGCAGCACGTTGTTCTGTTTATATACATACATATAATTTATTTAGCTTTATTGTCTGTGAAGATATCAGATTCCAGGAAACTGGAGTTAGAGACGGTTGTGAGCTGGCATGCTGATGCTGGGAATTAAACCCCAGTCCTGTGGAAGAATAACCCGCATAGGACAAAACTAGGCCCTCTGAATGTGGATGACAGTTGTTTGGCTGGGGCAGACTGCAGGGCCACTGGCAGAGATGCTAGGATTTATCCCTACTGCTTGTACTGGATTTTTGTGAACCCCTTCTCTTTGGATGGATATCTTACTCAGCCTAGATATGAAGGGCCTTGGACTTCCCCAAAGCAATGGGCTGACGTGGGAGTCCCTTCTGTGTGCTGTGATTACCATTAATGAATAAAGAAACTGCCTCAGCCTGTTAATAGGGCAGAGCTTAGGTAGGTGGAGAAAACTAAACTGAATGCTGGGAGGAAGAAGGCAGAGTTGGAGGTAGAAGTCATGGAGTTGCCGCTGGAGATAGACGTGCTGAAACATTGCTGGTAGGCCACGACCTCGTGGTGATGTACAGATTAATAGAAATGGGTTAAACTAATAAGAAGCTAGAGCTAACGGGCCAAGCAGTGATTTAATTATTATAGTTTCTGTGTGATTATTTCGGAGCTAAGATAGCCGATGGCTGGGAAGAACAAGCTGTTCCCTCCTTACTGTTGGGTCCAGGGGGGTCACACAAAGATGAGAACACCACCAAGTCTAATAAACCAGAAGCAAACTTTATTTCAGAAACCAGATCCTAGAAAAACCAGAAGCAAACTTAAAAATAAAAAATAAAAAAACACTGTGAGGAGCAGAAGCTTATCAGCTAGCTGAGACCACAGCCAGAGACGGTATTTGTTAGGCTGTGGCCAAAAGCTGGTTTATGAACTCACCTTTTATAGTTAGGGCAACAAGCATTAGATCTGAACAAAGAGTTTTTACGATCTTGCCCAGGTCAGTCAAGGGAGACCCTAAGGAGGGGAGTGGGTTCTAACGTCAGTGGATAACTAGGCAGCTATCATGAAATATGTTTCAGAGGAGATTACAGTGAAAGTCACTAATTGCAAGAAAATAGATGTCTTTAGCAATTAATCAGAAAAGGGACTGCTAGTAATATCAGAAGGTTAACAAATTAGAATTAATTGGTTCTTAGGCTGGGAACTTAGAAGACAGCAGAAAGTTCTTCACACTATCTCAAGGTGAAACTCAGATACAGACTGCCATACTTTATAACCTTCATTATCAGTGCTCGTTAACCAAACCAGGTGTTTGCACCGTGTCCTCTGTCTCTCCTAGTTCCTCCAGGCAGTGTATACTGAAGCCCCATGCCTCCCCCTTGATGGTGCCAGTTTCCCATAACAGAGACAGTGCCTAACCCAGAGGTCACGTATCTCTGTCCCCTAGACGTTAGCTCAGTTCATATCCGTCGTTTATCAAGGATGGCCAGGACAGGACACTGCTCTCAGTTTGCAGAGAGAAGCTCCGGCCTTAAGTAGAACAACTAGTTGTGAAAATGGAGGCTTCCCAAGCATCAGAGAAAATAGCTTCTGTGAATGATTGATCCTTGATCTGCTGAGAAAGCTTCTGGCAGTCTGTTCTCACTCTCCTAGATTTATATTTTATATTTCTTTATTTCTACATTCTTATTTCTGAAATCTACACTTTTATTTTCTTATTCTTGGACTCTTCACTTACTGCAATGAGCCTGACCCTCTCTGAGGATTTGGAGGGGGTGGGTAAGTGGGGGGAATAGGAGGAGACAGAATGGGAATTAGAATTGGTATGTAAAATGAAAAAGGTTTGTTTTCTTTTTAAAAAAAATAAAATAAAACCAGGCGGTGGTGGTACACGCCTTTAATCCCAGCACTTGGGAGGCAGAGGCAGGCGGATCTTAGTTCGAGACCAGCCTGGTCTATAAGAGCTAGAGTTCCAGGACAGGCTCCAAAGCTACAAAGAAACCCTGTCTCAAAAATAAATAAATAAAAGCGAATTTTAAGATAAGCAAATAAATAAAACTTTTAAAAAATGTAAGTGATGGGGAAACTCTGCCAACCAATCACGTCTAATTAAGGCGTGGCGACCTGGACCCCAGGGAGGAAAACTGGGAGGACCCAGGTGCGCGGGTCTCTCTGCACAGAGCCATCTGGAAAGATAGGACATTGGACCTCCCATTCTTACAGTGTGAGTTCCTCCTTTTTAACCATTAAAATATAACTGTTATTCTTGAACTGGCCTGGTTATTTATAGTACCGACTTAATTCGCCTACACTTGGCACCCCATGTGGGGCTGTTCCAGTTCTATGTGCCCCGTGCCACTTGTGCACACGGCTGCGCAGACATAGACCACCCCCTTGGCTTCCCTTGGCTCTGGCTCTGCATGCCCCGCACCGCGCTGCAGGCTTTGGGTCCAGCCACAGCTGCCATGCTACCAGAGTGGGAAACTATTGAACAGCCGAAGACATTCACAGAACACATGGTCTGTGACTTATAAAAAGTTAAATAACTTCTTGATTTGAGTATTTTTCAGTATTCCCTCTAAATTCAGCCATCTAAAACCAAGCATGTGGATTCAGGTGCACCCTGACACCTACTGCAGGCAACGGTTATTGCACCTACTCCAGCTGATTGAACCACAGGTGAGATTTATTATTTTGAATTTAAAAAGGACAATATGTCAGATAATCTAACCATCCAAGGTTTCCATAGCCTTTTCACTTACACCATGTGTGAGGTCTTACAGCGCACAAAAGACGTCCCTCCTACATTGCTATTTCTAGGATTCACTTTTTTCCTTGTACTCTGTCTTTTTTTCATAAAAATATGGTTTGACAATAGAAAAATGCTGCAGTCTTTACAGACTAAATCCAGACTTCTTAGAAAAGAAGTTGGAAATCTAAGGACGGACACGGCCATCTTAACTAACTTTTACACACAATTCAGACTGATACCAAACTCCTCCAGAAAGAGATTGCGGATCTGAAGGAGGATACTAGGACTTTGCTTAATACAACTTGGTCAACTGAGCTATTTTTGAAAAAGGTACAGTCTAATAGTAATTCATTTATGAAGAGGTGCATCACTCTGGAGAAGGAAACACCTGATTTGGCACATAAAACCCAGTCCATGACAGTGGGTGCTGAAACATTATTTGAGAGAATTCACACTGTTGAATGTATTAATCGGACTCTGTCGAAGGGGTATGACAGATTGACTGATAGAATGTCTCTCCAAGAAGGTAATAGACATGCCAAGAAGATCATGTCCAAGGATGAGATACTATCTCTAACGGACAGACCTTAGAATCCTCAATGAGGGCATTAGAGCAGAATACTGGACAGGAGATCCAGACCTTGCAGATTTGAAAAGATTGAGGAGATTATCGACTTTGATGACCAGGAGCAAAAGGTAAGAAGACAAAATCAGTATGTAAAACTCTCTGGGATAGCTTCACCAGTGTTCTACCTGCCTTTCCAGTAATAACAACAGAAAAGGTATCTGGCTCCAAATACCCTAAGGTTGTCAAGAAATGGGAGCCCGGACATATGAGTGATTTAAAAGAAATTAAACAAGCAATTGTGACTTATGGACTAAATTCGTCCTTTGTTAGAGAGCTGGTCAAAACCTGGGCTTTCAGTAACAAAGCCACACCTCATGATTTGGCTCAGTTGATCTCAGCTGTCTTAGAAAGTGGGCCGCAATGGCACTGGAGATATCTTCTTAAAGAGGAAGCAAGAATTTTAGAGCAACAGAAAAGAACAAAAGGAGCTGAGATTTCCCTAGATCAAATTCTAGGTGATGGACTTTACTCAGATCCTCAGGACCAAGCTCTTTATGATGACTACACCCTGTCTGTATGTACCTCAGCAACTTTAAAGGCTTGGGACAGGGTTCAGGAACCAGGACAAAGAGTGGAATCATATCTCAGGGTTAAACAAGGTCAGAGAGAACCCTTTAGTGACTTTTTGCGAAGACTAACTAGGGTCGTACAAATAGGGATAACTGACCCAGAAGCCAGACGTATAATAATTGAATCTTTAGCTTATGAGAATGCCAACGTAGAATGCAAAAGGATCCTGGGGCCTTTAAAGATCATATCAGCGCCCTTGGAGGAATGGGTCTTGCATACAATGAATGTAGAGACATTTGACTATGGCACTGAAGCGTGGGTAGGAAAAACAATTTCCAATGGTAAGAAAAGGCATCAAAATATCAAATGTTTTAATTATAGTAAAATGGGACATATGAGAAGGGATTGTAGACAGTGGACTTCCAGGAATAATGCCTCCTCTGGGAATGACAGAAATAGGAGGACTCAGCCTTCAGGTGTATGTAGGAGGTGTGGCAAAGGCCAACATTGGACAAATGAATGGAGGTCAATGACAGATAGACAAGACAACCTGATACCATCAGGAAATATTGTGGGGGCCTCTCCACAGGCCCCCATGACAAATGTGGTCCAGTCATTCCCAGTTACTGTGGGGAATGTGTCTTGTCAGGAAAATTAAAAGGTCCCATGCCTGCTGTCAAAAGCAATAATGCTCTAAATGATGAGATAAATATGGAAAATGAGTCAAAAAATCTGGTGGGACAGAGGAAACATATTCTGGCAGACTTCTTAAATGAACAAAGACCAAAGCTAAGAGTGTGTATAAATGACATTTTTATTAAAGGCTTATTAGACACGGGTGTAGATGTAAGTATCATTACTCCAGAATCTTGGCATCCAAATTGGCCTTTTCAGGAGGTAGATGTTCAGTTCATGGGAATTGGAACCATATCTCAGGTAAGACAA